AAAGATGTTAAACAGCACAGGTTTACATCCATTATATGGATGTAATCAGTCCCTGTGAACATCCTTTTGCCACCAGTCATTATGCACACCTTTTACCCATTCTTATTGAAACAAATGTCAGCTGTGCTGGTATTTATTTATATTCTGAAATATGCAATAATGATATATGAAGTCAGGAAGGTCTTCTGTTCACCCCACAGACAGAGGAAATCCAGTATAGAGATCGGCAAACCTACACTTACTCTTGTAAAATTTCAATATATCCAACGAATTTCCCACTGTACATGCATTTTAGTAATCTCTTTTTTAACCTTTCACATAGAGCTTCACCTCCCTATGGTTTTCACTCTGTGGTATGATTTAATAGTGCTTTGCACACCATTTTTTAAAATGGTTTTATATGTGTACCATACACCCAAGAATATGTACACTTTGTTGTTATTTGCTACAGCCACCAGAGCTGACTGTTAATCCTTGAGCAGACTGGCAGTGTTATCACACCCTGATTACAGGGCTTCACTTCCAACAGTTCAGATCCTTTGACAATGTGCATTCTCTTTTTTTTTTTTTTAAAAAAGGAACAAAACACAGACATGCCAAAGCTAAATTTTCCTCTTAAACTTAGTAAGAATTAATAGTCTAAAGAGCAAAGAACAACCAGCAACAATGTGTTAAATCCCAATTATGAGCTAATTGTAAATTATTTCAATCCAATCTTAATCTCGGACTTCACTTGGGTATGTTCTGCCTTTCTTTAGGATCACAAGACAGATCAATGTCTTCATCAGCTGGCAGTAGTTCAGTTCTGCATACTTTCTAATTCTGACAGCATGGAAAACAGCCACACAATTTTATGATGTTATTTAACATTACACATAGTGATATCCATGGAAAGCAGAGTATACCTCAAAACAACATGCAAACACATGTACAAGCAGTCACCCTGGCCACTTTATAAACTCCATCAGGCAACAGCAATCTCAGTTTCTGGTAGTTTTCTTAACATGCATACACACACTGATGACATGGCTGGGCTTATATTCACATGAAATACATATGCACGTGCTCAGAGAAGTATTTAACATCTGCGTTTGCTACCTTGTATAAAGAGTGAGAGAAGTCTGGTTTTGTTTAGCTTCCCCAAGAAGAAAAAATGAGAGAGCCCAAAGCAGGCGAAGAACTACATGAGGCTGGGCATAAGGAAGGACTTGTCCTTGGATTAATCGTTCAGGAGAAGTCAGGAAACAGACTTTCACATTAATTAGTGAGAATTTAGAATGAATTCTCTGATTTAGGAACAGTAGCTTTATTTTAAGGACAGATTTTAGCTAAGGAAACTGTTCATGCACAGGAGAGTATGCTATGAATAGTGCTAGCAGTTCTCATATTCTCAAATGCCATCACTACTAATTAGCATGGCACAAGTACCAGCCCTCAGTTTTGCAGTTTTGCTCCCAGTTTAGCAGGATAGCTCTTCCTGCAGGTGTTTGAAACTTTCCTGTGATGCAGATAACCGTGGATGCTGGTGAATTATAAGCTGACATTTTTCTTTCACTAACCCAGACAGCCTGAGAACTACCACTATGCTGTGCCTGAGCATTCTGCACTTTGTCGCCCACTTACCTCACTTTTCACGTGTTCTTCCAATTTGGCCAAAAAACACTGTAACAGTATTTAAGAGGCTTGAAAAAACTTGGGTTCAGACAGTAAAAATCCAACATTTGAGTGCGTTTTAGCAAGTACTCAATGTATGGCTTCATGGAATATTTTACTGAATATAATTCATACCCTCTGTCTGCAGGACGTTTTGTTTCTTCATGAGACATATGAAGAAATTAAATTTTCCTGCCAAGTTTCTAAACTTCATTATAGAACAAAACAGCGCTAAAGCTTTCCAGGAAGAAAAATCCACAGGTTGTTGTTTTTTTCTCCATGTGAGCAAACCAATATTTTTCTAGACTTATTTTTTGAAATAGCATTCTTAAATTTCATCCTGAATCATTGCCTTATATAGCGTAAAAATTTTAGCTGGAAAAAATTAACGAAGTTCAAAGCAGTTGGAAAAAGGAATTTAAAATTACACATTATTTACTTCAAAGAAGTTTCCCATTGGCTTTCAACAACTGTGCCATCTATAATGCTACAAAATACAATATGTTGGGCAATTACATATATACTTCACAATTTTTTTAAATTGGAATGTAACACATTTATTAATGCATTTCCCACAAACTCCTTATACCCTCCCTAAGGTAAGTTACCACAGAAATTTTTCTTAACAAAATTTTAACAAAGTTATGCGACACAAATCAAACCAAAAGAGGTACAGTCAATATTAAGTCCAGTTTGTTTAGTTTGTTTGTTCGTTTTTGGTGGGGTTTTTTTTCAATTTTTTGATTTTTTTCCAACATTCTTTGAATTTATGGCCTGTATATGGTAACATGTAAGTAAGTTTTATACCCAAGATATATGGAAAAAACATATCTTGAAAAAGATCTGGGATTTTAATGCATTTTTGTATTTGTGATGTATTAATTTTGCAATGAACAAAGAAAACAATCCCTGTATTTATTATTCTTTCTCTTACATGTCTAACTTGAGGAATATTTTGTCTCTCAGAAGCATAGCTTCCACACTAGCCCACAAGTGTAGGCTAACATTTTCTTGTTTGATAATGTGCACAGAAGTCTTCAGCACAGCGGGACAGGTGCTCCAGCTGTACCACATTCTTATACCGTAGAGTGACAAGCCAGCATTTGCCAAATACCCAGACACCTACCTGTCTCTCTCTTTTTTCTAATTCTGCAAGGGTTGTTTTAAGCATCTTCATCTCACTGGTAACTGCTTCTAACATATTCTTGGTTTTGTCTTTATCTTCAATAGCTTTACGTTCCTTTAAAAGCAGTTCTGATTTAACAGAGGTAAGCTGTTTCTCAGCCTTTTCTTTCATTCTTTCCAATTTGCCATGAGACTTACTGAGTTCTTCTATTGTTCTGCTCTGCTCCAAAGTTTTTATCTGCAACAACAAAGTAATATCACATTTGTCACACTTTTTCATCTAACATGAACAAATAATCAGGATTATCAGGAGTTACCAGGAGTAAGCACTTTAATGTGGTTTCTTCCAGGTTCCTGGTGAAATCACATATATGTGTGAAATAAAAAGTTATTAAAGCAGACTGACTGTTTCAAAGACAGTTAATTCTCTACAGGTTTTGTGAAGAGAGGTAACTAGACAGACAAAACTGCAGCGAGACTCTACTCTGCTAGCCCCTGGAAAAATAGTACGAAAAAGAGTTGCCAAGTGTTTTGCTGGTAAAAATCGTTCAGTTGGAACATGCACCTATTATCTATTTCACTCCATCAGCCACAAGACACAAACTCACATAAAATCCTATCTTCCAGCAGAGGCAAGCTATCAATGAATGCAAAGTACTTGTTTTCACCTGAATGAAACTTATGACTGCTGCAATGTAAGAAAAAACAATAAGAATGACAATTTAGCATCTTGCCTGTTTTATGCAGGAAAAAAAACAAACCACTTTTTTTACCCCCATACTAGCAAACTAGATCTTCTGTGAGCAACATATGGGAAAATATAAGATTACATCCATAATTACCAACAAGGGATGCATATATTGTATTTTTCTTTCACTAGCCTGAAAATGTACATTGTGCTTTACAGCTGCTGCTTAGTTGATCAAGACAAATCGCAGAATATCCAAATGGTTACAATATTATATTTGCTTTCCCCAGCTAGATGTATTTGAGCAGTTCTCCATGAACACATTTATTGTAAATGAACTTCGTTTGTATCCAACTGGAATAGAAAAACAGATAGAACTACAAATGCAGCCTTTTAACTCACCTTAAGTTCATTAGTTTCAGACAGTTTGGCTTTGAGATCAGTATTTGTTTCCCTTGCCAGATCAAGCTGCTTCTGTAACCTCTCTATCATCTTATGTAACTTTGTGACAGCGAGGTTGGCCTCATCCCTCTCCACAGCTAAAGCGGTCCTTGCTTGCTTCTCTTCTTCCAGCTGGGTTATTTTCTGCCGCAGAAGCTTCGTGTGCAGCTCTTGGCTTTCAAGCTTTTCTTTCTGAGTCTTCAACTAGTTTTCCAAACACAAGGATATTTGAAAAAAATATGTGGAAAGACCACAGTACTACACAGATTGTTTTGCAAATGCAATCTCCATGTTGGGTATTTAACCTGAACTCCTATTCCTCTCTTGAAAACTCTGTAAAGTCCTATAAACATATATACACTAATTTGATTCCTCTTATATTACTAATTCATGGTGCTTCTCCACCCCTGAACTTGCGCACTACCTTTTAGAATGAATTTACATATAGACTGCACACTCTTTGAACATAAACATTAGTGCATCATTCATAGCATCTCAGATTGTCTGAAGTATAAGACACTAGTCAAATGCAAGAGGCAACAGAGACTCATTAAGGGGACAGTGGTTTCAGTGGTGGTAGTTTGAGATATTTCCATCTTTGATCAGCTAGTTAAAGCCAGTGTGCAAGAAGGAGAATCAACATACAGAAATAAGAAAGCTTTCATTTGCTGCTCCAACACAAGGTCCAGCAACTTAGTTTTGTAATTCTGGCACTCAGGGAGCTGCCTGTTTTCAGTTTACCTGAGCTGAGCTGCCAGGCTTTACATCTGAGGAGTATTCAAATACATACAAACACACTCCCTGCTAGAGAGGCAGTTGCTCCCAGAAAAATACAGTGTTGTTTTAAACCTTAAACAGACCTTATTCTAAGCTCTAGACCATTCTGATTTTTCAGCCAAAAACCAGAGGATTTCACTGTCCTAACAGGATGGCAGAGGGGTGTCTGACCAAATTTGAACAGATTTGCTCCTAAAGGAGCACAGCTTTCGTTGGAAACGTTGAAATGCCTTATGAGGTATAACCAATGTCCTACTAGTTTCTAGAGAAGTTTTTGTAAGATGCCCCCCTTCACCGCAGATCCTTTTAGATTCAAGTATCAATGGTAGTTGTTCACAGAAGTATATTATAAATGTGTATTAGAAAGTAGACATATATACACATATAATCAAGCATAGCCCCATACATTTATATAAGACATTGTGAAAAGCAGTATCACGTATTTAACTGACTGGTGATTTTAGATGTTTTAATATGCAGTCTGTTTGCACAGTTTGCAAATGTTTACGATCTTTTTATATAATGGACATCTTCGAAATTCTTATACATATAAGAAGTTCCAATCTGCTGCCTCTACAAAGCCACTGTAAAAATATAGCCGTAACACTGTTTATCTTTGACACAAACAGCAACAGTATGTCTTTTTTGCTTACCTTCCTTCTTAGACTGTATGCCAGAGTCTTGTTTTCAATCACGGCATCACCTTCCAGTTTCACTAACTGCTCTACCCGGGCTAGAATCGCATCCACATTCATATCAAATCCGACCTCTGCGGCTAAGCTATCCAACTTCATCTTCTCATTAAGTTGCTCCAGAAATTTCAGATACTAAGATAAGATGTGGAAAAGTGGGTAAAAGAATAATAAAACTTCATTAAAAGTCCTGACGTATAATTTAAAAGCAATTCCCCCCACACCAGCACCCAAATATACGTTGCCAAGTCCGCTATCCAAACAAAATAATGTACTGAAAGGGTGTGTTTATAGTACACACTCCTGAAACAATTGCAAATTCTCCATTTGTCCCTTCTAGTCAACATTTATTCTGTTCATAAATCCCCAGACCCACTGTATTTATATTCTTAGCAAGACCAAATTGGTTTTTGCTCCTCTGCAGTAAGATCACTAGGTATGTGTGTCTGCTTCTGACTCCAGTTCCTGTCTGTAGCTCTGCTGCTTCACACAACCATGCATGGGCAGGGAGAAGTTAGGAAGGACAGCTACATCCCAGCTAATTGCAAGTGCTGTGATTTCCCACTGCTGTGAGCTCTTAAACAGATAAAACTGGTACCAGGAATGCAAAACCATGTTGTTTGAGGAGATGCAGGAACGTTAACATGGTTGATCTTTTGCCCTTCTCAGGAACAGCAAGTTTTAGAGATAACAGTTGATAATTTACAAATTGCTTTAGAGATTATTTTAATTGCATCTTCATCTGTTTTACTGATGTGAACACATACAGATATCAAATATTGTTTAATCTGTTTTTTCCTTCTTTGATCCTGCCCTCATACCTCTTAAAACTGTATTAGTTCCCTGGTCTTGTTTAGCTTCCTGCAAAATCCAAAGCTCTCCTTCTCACTAAGAACTACATTTGCCTTGGTTTTCTCTTACTTCTGTTGCATGTCACAATCTTTGCAAAGAAACAACAAAGGAAAAAGCAAACAAAGCAAAACAAAACCAAAACACACGAACAAACAAAAACAACAACCACCCAGTCCCATAACTGTTGCTTGAGCCAAAGGCAATAAAAGATAGCAAGAATCTGTTCTTGTTTCATGATGCTTCTGACTCAAAAAGTTAAAAACAGAAGCAGCAAAAGAAACCACTGAAGCTGTTTATTAACAAAAAACTATCACAATAAAAATCACTTTATTGCAGCAAAATCTAGAGAGAGATTAAGAAATTAGGGCCACATAGAGGTAGCAGAGAGGAAGAAAAAGCTCCGTTTTCTGGTTTGTCTATGACACAATAACTTTCATGAATGAAGCAGCCACTACACTGGGAGAAATTTCATTCATGAAAGTTATTGTATCATAGACTAATGCAAAACAGACAGCACCAAATTGCTTATTCTTTGCAAATTCAACTTTCCAAGCATTGGTCTTGGCCTGGTAACATGCTACTACTTTGTCTTTCTTAGCTGTATTGGATGGCTGGTTTAGCTTTCCAGGTACTGTGTCATTTTTCAAACTCTTAGTATGTAAATATATTATAGGCTATCAGTGTGTTCATTCATACAATTAATTAAAAGATCTTGGTAGCCTTGATGGTCTAAGGATGCAAAAGAATCAAGGACTGTGTGCAGACCAGATGACATATTAGAAAAAGAGAGACAGATCAGGAAAGCTTTGAGATGAGAGAATCCTTGAAGAACCTCTAATGTATTTACAGATACTTCTTTTAATGTTTCAGGTTAGGGGTTTTTTTTTCCCCACATTAAATGGACTTTGTACTCAAAAGATTAGCTACTTTTTCCAACTAAAATCGCTGGTCAAAAAAAGATATTACTACCCCCTACATGATGCCTGACCTTGCTGACTTGCATTATTTGCAGTACTGTAGGCAATACTCCAGGTGATTAATGCAATACAGTTAGCTGTATCTCTGTCTTTTATGCAAAATAAAATAATGAATGCAACTACTTTTTTTTTCTCTAGCTTCAAACCATCTTGCATCAGATCTACAGACAGTAATTCCTCTTCCAAGAGTTTTAGTTGATCCTGGAAAGTCTCAGAACATTCTTCAGCTTTCCTGCTCCTCTCCAGAGCTTCTTGGTACAATCTGGTCTGATTTTCCAAAGCTTTGGTCAGTTTAGCTATTTGAGTTTCAAGCTGAGATACCATCTAGGGAGCAAGCAAACCAACAAAACGTATAGGTTAGGTGGGTGTGGAAATGTTAAATATGAAAGATGCTTCCTCAAATTATTGAAAAGAGGGGAAATATCTATCTTTAAAATACACTTATTTAAAAGGACAAGAAAAGAAAAACATGCTGTGATCACCAGGAGAAAATGGCAGAAATACTCACATGAGAGACAACCAAGAGTGAACAGCAGAAACCGTATTTAAGATGACTCAACTGACACGCTCTAAAATAAGCCAGTAAAATCACTAGTCTACTGGGGGGCTGAGTGGAAAAAACAGATAAGTGATTTAGAACATACACACAGCCTGTAGGTGAGAATGTAGATATGGATAACTAGATCTCAGAGTAGTGCTTCCCAGCTGTTAGCTGTTAAAGGGTGTTTAACCAAAAGATTTGGCTAAAAATATAATAATAATATTTTCTGCAATCTAGTCAAAGGCTGAGGCTAAAAGAATAAAATATCATAACAAGAAACTAGACTAACAATTCTGAAAACAATTCTAGCTCTACACTGTTAACTTTGCAACACCTACATACAATGTAATTGATTTTAAGTTGTAAAGTACTTACTCATTAAATGCTTGAAAGCATCTGATTACACTACTGCCAAATACTGACAGGCAGTTCTATCCAAAAAAGTGGCTTTCTTTAAAAAAACTTACTGTCACATAATTATTTGGTTTCATAATGAATTACGTTGCATTTGTAACTCATTGTTCAGACACTCATCTCCAAGCAGTCTCTTTGGTTTAAGCATCTGTTCGCCTCCCGTTAATAAAATGAAGAATCAGCAGACGAAACCCCCATTAATTTTAATGGCACAGAAAGGTTTCCAAATTAGACTGCAACTAAATACAAACAAGTTTGCACCCAACCTGCCTAAAAACCACTGAGAAATTACTGCTGCTCGTACAGTGGTAGAAAACACACTAAACAATAATACAACTGCAAGAACCCACACACAGAGTTTATGCTTTTCTGCATCACGTATCACGCAGCAGGAAAAAAAAAGCAGCTTTCAGTAAGTTGTGCCCTCAGAGACGCACGGCGGCCGGAGAACCCCGAGCCCCTGGACCAGGCTGCGGAGCGGCCCTGTGTGCAGCCCAGCCACGTGGGGCTTCACCACGCTTCAGGGGTCCGTGAACATAAGGCGGTGAAGGTTCAATACCACCGAAGGTGATACCACAAAAGCACCAGACTGTCAATTTATCTTCCAGAGCATGCTGGAGTAACTTTCATCCTTCGCTTAGGGGCAATCAACAACTCAGGGATTTCCTAAGAGTTGCGCCCTTATTACCCACCCATGCCTGTACCCAGAAACAGAGGCTGCAGGTTTGGTCCTCCACAATTTCCTGTGCCAACGACTTGTGCAACACTTCCTGCTTTTTGTTTTAATGTGGATGCCAGATAATTTCAAATGAAGACCCTTTATTTCTTGCGTTACAAGGAGTTGCACATGCTCATTTCCAGAGGCAGCTCCTACCTCGCGGGCAGCAGGGTTCATCCCTGCTGCAACTACATAACCCTCACTAAAACCTTCCTGAACTTTACTTGTCTCTTGTGCTAAGAAGAGGCCAGGTGCAAGCACCAGGCCCAGCCCCACCAGAACAAAAAGCAGGTTACAGCTATGCAGTCAGCAGGGCATCTCCCTCACCACCCCAAAAGTCACAGAGAGAGGCAGATGGTGGACTCAGGATGAATGCAAAAAAGCAGTGTGTAGGATGGAGTTACAAGGTCCTTCACATCATAGGGGCATTTTTTCCCCCTCTTTTCCAACATAACAACTAAATATTCTCATCTTCTTAGTATTATTTTGGCAATCATTAAGCTATACTGTTCTGGTATGGTAAGATGTTATCTTAAACTTCCACTGTTTTATATGGAGTACCCATACACACACACAGACACACGTGTGTACCTAGTACACATTTTTTTTGGATTCCTACCAGCTGAAAAGCGTTAGACTTGCCACATGTCTCATCACTGCACTTACAACTTGCATTTTGCTTTAATAAATTGCACTCACTATCCCAAGCTGAAAAGTTCATGTCTGTTGAGTCTTTCCTTGCATGGAACCCTCTAGACACTCTCATGGCCCTTCCCAGTATTTCAGAAAGCCCTTTTTGGAATGAAATTATCATAACTGTGTGTGCTACTCAGAATGCAGCACATTATTATACAGTGGCATAATAATTATGGTTTTCATTTTTTTCTCAACTTTTTGCCTAAGAATTTCTGTTATTCTAGTTGGTTGGGGTTTTCTTTTTCAGCCCTAAATGAGTAGGGATATTACTCTGCTTTTATCAACATTTGATTTAATTTCCCAAATTATTTTCCACTCAATTCTTTTATTTGGAAGGATAAAATGGATAAATCCATAAAAACTAAATATGCATTTATGACATTACCATAAAAATCATTATGAAACAAGAACAACAGGATATTTTAATGGGAGCAGTAGTAGACCCTAATCAATTTGGGCATTAAAGAGTCTGTATATCAATATGCAATGACAAAAACTGACAGAATTAAGATAATCTACAACCAGATCAGGATAGGTAATCAGTTTCAGTCCTATGAAATTAATTTGCTGCAACAGATCTGCAACAAAAGTTGTCAAACAGAAAGGACCTGAACCCAGAGAACTCATAACCAGGGCTGAGCTCTGGATGAACTGAGAACATCTGCTTGCCTCGGACTCCAGGTGCCCGTGAACCCTCCAGTCTGCTACAAATAATAAATGACAAAAACAACCAAGAGCTGCCCAAATATATTCAGATGATACACATCTTGCTACAGCTGCTGAAAAGATGATTAGAACACTGATTCAAAGCAGTTTCTTAACCCTGAAACAGAATACCTATCACTGGACATCGTCAGAGAATATGCTAATTTTTTTTCAAATGAAATTACAATTTTTGCTAATGTTAATGCTAAGGTCTAGTGTACAGACTGTGCCTAACTCTGATGTCCTTCAGATACCAAAAATCATCATTAGGAGACATAATCTTCAAGGGCATTTCAGATTTTACAGAAAATATGACTATAGCAGTTGCAGTGAATAATTTTCTCACAGGCTTTTTACAATTTAAACTTTTCCCAGCTGTTTGACAGGTGACCGTGCAGAGGTCAGCCAGACATAGCTGACCATGCTTGGGTGTAAAGATGAACATTTTGCCAGTTCATCTCGCGTCTACAATCCTATACACAAAATTCCCAGAGCGAGCTGCAGTGATGATGTAAAAATGAAAAAATAAAACCTGTTTGGAGAAGGTTTCAAAACACTCAGACAGGGAGGGCCCTCATTTTCCCAGATTCTTGCATTGTCTTTTCCTGACCCCACTAATCTAGTTCACAAAGTCCAGTTGCTTGCAGTAATGTCCTGACAGGAATGAAACAATCCTTACTCAGAGAAAGACCTAATTGTAAGCACCCTCCTGTTATACGTTAGCGCATTCATTACCATATTTAATTGCCAGCAGCAAGGCACTCGGCCGCTGGATTCATACCCCTGGCTGTCCTGGCACTGCTTCTGGATTGCAGCCACGGATGGGCTGTTTTGAAACAAACTATGTTGAGCACCAGCAACACCGCCAGCTAATTTACCCTGCCCAAGAAGTTTAATGACTCACTTCCGCGAGTCTTTTACTTAAGGCTGCCCAGTTTACTGAAAGGTCTGTAAGAAATCCTGTCTGAGAACATTTAACCCTTTTCTTGATTGACTGATAGTAAAGCATACATATCCTAACAGTGATGTTATATTCAAATCCTGGAAAGAAATTCACCCTGAGATGCAAGAGGAATCAGATTGACACCTATATACCAATATGTAAATTCCTTATAAATGGAACCTTAGAAAATGGGGTTTTTCATTCCAGTTTGCAGAAAGAAAAGCAGCTCATGGTATAACAAATTTTTGATTATAAAGTCTATGTTCTATTAGAAACAGGTTCACAGGCATATAATATTGCCATTTTAGCTTGGTTATTTCATAGCACTTAATCTTAATGCAGAAACTCTTCTGACAATAGATGCAAGAACTGCTTCAGAAGCAACACAGTTCACTCTGGGGCCATGCAAATAAGTCTTTCCAAATGAGTAAAATGAGCAGTAAAATATCAAAGCTTCATCTCAACATACTTAGCAAACACAATCATCCACAAAACTTCATCATGCAACTACAATGACCAAATTCACCTAACAGTATTAAATTTAAAGCTAAGATTTATGGTTCAGGAAACTGAGCAACAATTTTTTTTTTTTTTTTTTTAAGAGAGGACTAGCATTTGGGGGAGTATTGGTAGAAGTATAGCAGGCAATTGCTGTATTTGCTAGCAGAGGCAGAATGCTAGGCTAGACATACCTGACATAGCTCCTCTACTATATAAAAACAAACCAACAAAAGCTGGCAACTCTAAGAGCAGCATCTTAGTTCCAAAACACAGATTTAGGCACTGGCAGACTGGAGTTGATACCTGTGCAGTCTTAATAATAAAGGCTTCTTTATAGTACACATATTTAATTTTGATAGCAGTAAAACTGAAAACCAAATCTGTTCTCCATCCCCAGACAACCCCAGTCAAAAAAAAAGGGAGTTATTTTCTGTTGCAAAATCAACAGGTCTTTCTGGGAGAGAGTGAGAGGTTAGAGCATAGCACCCAAAATGAATTTTCACACTCTTACAGAAAAATACCTGGTTTTCTGAACATCAGTTTCTTTACATCTAAAATAAGAATAATTTAGATGTCTGAGCAGCTGTTTAGAAAAAGAATAGTCAATAACTGTGTATTTCACAGTAATTCTTTAACAGCACATGACCTCAAATCAATGCTGTTACTTGGAGAAGCAGCTTTATCCCTCCCAAGCAGTTGGAAAAGTTTGTATCTGCAACAAAATAAAGACCAAGTTTGAATCCTCCCCTATACTACCAGTCTGCAGGATGATCAAGTGGGCAACCCAGCATGTAAAGCTAAATATT